GCACCATCTCTGCCTCCTCGACAAGCTGAGCCGGTTATCCCGCAGGGCGTCTCTTCTCCGATGCCGAGTCAGCTTGCTGGAGCCACCGCAGGCCTGACTTCTGCCCCACAGAGCCCAATTTCTCATGGGCAGGGGTCCTTGGCTCTTTCAATCTCCTCAGCGCCCTCGAGGTCGAGGTCCCCTTGTAAGAAGTGCTCATCAAAAAGGAGGCATCGTTCTTCCAATCGATGCCGATTGAAACGTCGACGTCGGGACTGTTCCTCCACTTCAGATGACTTGGGAAGGGTTCGATCAAGGAAACACCACCGACGTCAATGACATTCGAGTTCCTCTGATTCCTCTTCGACCTCGACTGATCAACGTCAAAAACATAGGAAAATCACGTACATTTATGTTTTATCTTTTTTAGACTCTCCTCAACCCCGTCACCACACTGTCTTCCACCAAGCCCTCAGACATGGAGCTTGCCTCACCATCAGCTACTCCTCGTTCCGAGTCCACATCTTCCCCTCAACCGTCTACTTCTAAGACAGGCAAAACTGCGAAAAAGTCTGCTCCCTCTAAAAAACTTGGCAAGACTTCGGATACCGCTTCAGTTCCAGCTCCCAAACCTGTAAAGCAAGCAAAAACTAAAGCTGCAATTAAAGCGAAGGAGCCTTCCATCCAGCTTCCTCCGATATCCGAGTCATTACCATCACCGATTTTTGGAGGAGTCTTTGAGAGATTGTGAGTTTTTGTTGGAGGCAGCACAATCTCTGCCTCCTCGACAACCTGAGCCGGTTATTCCGCAGGGCGTCTCTTCTCCGACACCGAGTCAGCTTCCGGGAGTCACTGCAGGTCTGACTTCTGCCCCACAAAGCCCAATTTCTCATGGGCGGGGGTCTTTGGCTCTTTCAATCTCTTCAACGCCTTCGAGGTTGAGGTCCCCTCGTAAGAAGCGCTCATCAAAAAGGAAGCATAGTTCTTCCCATCAATGCTGATCGAAACATCGATGTCAAGACCGTTCCTCCACTTCAGATGACTCAGGAAGGCTTCGATCAAGGAAACACCACCGACGTTGACGACATTCGAGCTCCTCTGATTCCTCTTCGACCTCGACTGATCGACGTCGAAAGCATAGGAAAGTCAAGTACATTCATGTTTCATCTTCCTCAGACTCTCCTCAGCCCCGTCATCATCATCAGCGTCGATGGGTTGACATTGAAGCTCCTAAGGCTTCAGTGCTTTTACCAGCAGTGACTGCGTCTTCTGATTTGAACGCTCCCTCGACCTCTCAACAGACTCACTCTTCAAAGTCGAAGGACAGGCACGACATCAAACGCGGACCCCGTAAGAGGAATGGGGATGCTTTTTCCTCTGACCCTGATGAAGTCTCTTCTTCTCATTCCTCAGATTCTGATCCTGATCTTCTAGCTCAGCCTTGCCAGGGGGACCTTCCTTAAGGTGAGGTTGTGCCTTCTGATACCGGGGACCCCCATGCTTCCTCCCCGTCAGAGGATTTTTCTCCATACTCACAAATGCTTTCACATCTAGCACGTGCACTAAAGTTAGAAGTGGACCAACCTATGCCTCCTTCTGAAGACCTTATCTTTGGAGACATCAACCAGGAGAGGTCTCCCCCTCCAAGCCTTACTTTTGTACCAGTTATTATGGACATTATTAAAGAATTTTGGGAGCAACCTGCTACTTCTCCCTCTGTTTCTCGACGAACTGAAAACCTCTATCATGTCCACAGTAACGACACGAAATTTCTTCTCAAGCACCCTATTCCAAACTCTAATCGTCGAAACCAGTTGTACTAAGCCCACTGGAAAGTCACACGTTATCCCCACAAACAAGGAGGGTAAAAAGTTAGAGATTATCGGAAGAAAGATTTACTCTTTAATCTCTTTCCTCCTTCGGATCATAAACTATCAAACTGCTTTAGGGGCATACCAGAAACAACTCTGGCTCAAAGTTTTACCTGGTCTCAGAATGACCCCAGAAGATGTAAGACAGGGTTTCTTGAATTCTTATGAGGAAGCACAAACCGTTTCAAAACACCAAAGGTTGTCGACTCGGCACGCAACAGAGACCGCTGTACTTCCATGTGACCATCCATCCAGACCACCGCAAGTACCTTCGATTCATCTTCCAGGGAACCATTTATCAATTCCTGGCCTTACCATTCAGTCTTTCAACAGCTCCCAGGACATTCACAAAGGTCATGGCACCTGTGGCAGCTTACTTACACCTCAGTGGCATCCACGTCTACCCTTACATAGACAATTGGCTGGTAGTCTCTCCATCAAGGACTCAGGCCCTGAAAGACACAAAATTCATTCTACGGTTACTGCCAAAACTAGGCCTCACCATCAACAGGGAGAAGTCGCATCTCGAACCCTCCAAGATAGTGCATTACATTGGAGCACGACTAGATGCCATCAGAGGTCGAATTTTTCTGCCCAGGGAACGAATTCAAAAAATACGAAGGGCTCTCAAGAAGTTTCGGCCAAGGGCCCGCGTGAGGGCGAAACACGTTCAACATCTGTTAGGCCTCATGGCCTCCACCACTCCAGCTCTGGCACATGCATGTCTCAAACTGTGGTCCCTATAATCATGGTTCCTGGCACTCTTCAATTCCATGACAGCCAGCCAGATGAAACACCTTCGCATAACTCCAGAGCTTGCACAACAACTCCAATGGTGGAACTATCCTCCTCATCTGAGGATAGGCAAGCCTTTTCGACCACTTCAGCTCACTGTGCAGGTGACAACAGACACCAGTCCGACAGGATGGGGAGCACACTGCAGACGGCACAAGGTTCATGCTCTCTGGTCTAGTCAAGAAAGGAACCTCCACATAAACCATCTGGAGATCATAGCGGTCATCAAGGCCTTAAGAGCTTTCCTTCCCATGGTGGAGGGTCATGGTGTTCAATTAGTGACAGACAACACCACGACCATGTACTATATCAACAAACAAGGAGGATCGTTTCTCTACCTTGCCATTGACCTTTGGGAGTGGTGCTACCAGCACCATGTCTTTCCTGTAGCGATACATGTGGCCACGGCAGACAATGTGTTGGCAGACCAGCTGAGCCGTCTCACATGTCAAACACACGAGTGGGAACTGAATACCCAGTTCTTCCAGCACCTCTGTCACCTATGGGGGACCCCAACTGTAGACATCTTTGCCTCTCATCGCAATGCCAAGTGCACCAAGTATGCATCCAGAGCCGGCCTAGGCAAGGACTCGTTAGGGGACGCATTCATGATACCATGGAATCAGGGACTCCTCTACATGTTTCCTCCTCTTCCTTTAATACAGAGGTCTCTAGTGAAGCTTCGTTACTCTCCTGTGCAGGCGATCTTCATAGCACCATAGTGGCCTCGGCAAGTGTGGTTTCCAGTGCTGATGAGGATGTCCTCAGGGTTCAAGAGACTGCCAACATTACCCGATCTCTTGTCACAGGATGCAGGCAGAGTGTTCCATCCAGATGTAGAGACACTGCATCTAATGGCATGGAGGATCTCCCCGAGATCAAGGAGGTGTTAGATCGGGCCATAAAGCAGTCCACTTCATTGCTGTACAGTTATAAGTGGAAAAGTTTTCTAAAATTTACTGAAGCTAGGGGTCTTGTACCATCCCCTGTATCTCTTTCTACCTTGTTACAATACTTACATTACCTGTTTGATTTCAAGTTGTCTCTTTCCACTTTTAAAGTTTACTTGGCTGGGATCATCTCCTTCCAGCCTAAGGACTCCACCTTGTCACGCCTTTTCTCCCATCCTACAGTTAAATCCTTTCTTAAAGGACTTACTAATCTGAGGCCTCCAATTCGACCACCAGTTCCGCAGTGGTCCCTTCAGTTAGTGTTGCATGCCCTTGCTCGTCCTCCATTTGAGCCAATGGCTACGTGTGACCTCAAAATGTTATCTCTTAAGTCATTGTTTCTTGTGGCCATCACTTCTGTGAGACGAGTGAGCGAACTTGCTGCTCTTCGTCTGATCAACCTTTTCTACAGTTTTTTAAGGATAAGGTACTGTTGCACCCTGATCTCTCCTTTCTCCCAAAAGTTGTCTCGGACTTTCACCTCAACCAGCCTTTACTGCTTCCCACTCTGTTCCCTGAACCTGCAAATGACACCGAGCGCATGCTCCACACCCTTGATGTCAGGAGGGCTCTGGCCTTCTATGTTTCTAGAACCAAGGACTTTAGGTCATCCAATAGACTTTTCCTCTGCCACTTTGGGAAAAAGAAGGGTCTCCCAGCATCGTCTTCAATGCTCTCCAGATGGTTTGTCTCCACAATTTCGCTTGCTTATGAGCTTCAGTGTAAGACTCCACCTGAAGGACTTCAGGCTCATTCCACCAGAGCCATAGCTTCTTCTACTGCCCTACTACGTGGCGTTGATGTGCCTGACATCTGCAGGACTGCCACTTGGTCTAATGTCTCCACCTTCATCACTCATTACAGACTAGACCTGAGGGCCAAGAAGGAGACAAGTTTTGGGAGAGCGGTGTTGACGTCTGTCCTCCAGTGACAGCCCACCATCTGGTGAGTAAGCGTGCTAATCACCCTTTTGTGTGCATTCACAGAAGACCACGATGAAGAAAGAGAGGTTACTTACCTGTAACCATGGTTCTTCAAGTGGTCATCTGTGAATTCACACAATCCCGCCCTGCCTCCCCTCTATCTATCACTGGCTGTATCTAGCTCATGCTCAGGTACCTGTGGCGGATAAATGGAACTGAGGTTTGGGCGGGTGGAGCATGTGCAGTATAGGCAGCCTTAAACTTTGTTACTTTTCTCTTAAAGCTCGAGAATGTTCCGAGAGGACCAACGCTGGTGCTGGGTTAACCCTTTTGTGTGAATTCACAGAATGACCACTTGAAGAACCATGGTTACAGGTAAGTAACCTCTCTTTTCTTTCCTTGGTATTTTGTGCCTCTCTGACTCCCTAATGAAAGCTCATTACTCTCCTGTACTTGATTCTATTCCTTTATTTTTCTTGCAGGTAATTCCCCCTCAGATGAGTCTGAAGAGAGTGAGCGAGATCCCAGGGTCCTCACTTTTCCAGAGTATATCACCAGCTTATCAGAGTCAGGGACCAAGCGTATGGCAGCTGGTGTACGCATGGAGTGTCAAAGTAGAGGCCACTGCCCATCATCCTGTCCTCTATGTCATGTGAGTTCTAGCCCAGATGCTCTGGCTGAACCCATCCTCTTGGAGGTCACCAAAGCAGCACCCATCTATGAGCTGGTCACTAACAATCAGACACAGAAGGTGAGTGTCTTGGTCCTGAAAGAAGGAGAAATTTTAGCATTAGGGGTTTACAAGTAAGATAGAAAGAGGCCTCTGGCTTCTCCTTACCAGTTCATGTTTTGAGATAAACTGGACTAGGAAGTGGGCTTGAAACAAGAGGAAGTGTTAGGTTTTTTTTAATACTGAATTCATCATGGCTGTACTGATGACATTTTCTCCATGTTAATTTTTTCCTGGGTTTGGGGCTTCCACATTAGCTGTTCTAGAACTGTAAAGCTGGAAGGGAACCTTGGGATCATCAAGCCCAGCTTCTGTCAAGAAGACACAATGGGGAGGTAAACTGCCAACCTCTGGCTCTGCAGCCACATCCTCAAACTTCTGAGCTATCCAGCAGTTCTTGTCTATAGAGCAGCACTGAAACTTGAGTGAATGTCATTCTTCCATTTTTGACTTCTGACCCCTTTTTTGGCTCATTGCACATAATGCAGATTTGCTGGCACTTTCATTCTGTTTTGTTTTGTATACCTTTTGTCATTCTTATCACACACAATTGTATATTGATTAAATCACATAACAAGTACATACATATGTACATCCGTACGTACGTATGTGTGTGTGTTTATTTGTTTATTAGTTAGTTAGTTAGTGTATTAATTAATTAATTAATTAATTAATTTGATTTGTATACCACTCCCATTAGTGCTAAGGCACTACTCTGATATTTTACAATAAAAAGCAATGCAAAACCAAAAATAAAATTAAAATGGCTAAAAACAATTTAACAAACTGACCAATAGAACAGATGCTGCAAGGCAATGGTGCAGAAAAAAGTTGGTGGAATACTTTGTGTTTTAATAAGTGCTAACATATATTTTTGTGCAATGAGAACCTACATGTGGGAAGACCAGATGAGGACTAAAAACTGATTAACTTTTCATGAAGATATTTGAAAATTAGTTTTAAAAACCTTAAATGAGAAAACAGATGGAGTAGAACAGAGTCATGCCATGAAACAGTATTGCAGTGGAACAGGGGACATCTGCTCTTTCTGCACAGATGCTCTACTTGGATTTTATATATATAATGCTTTTTGTATGCACATGTTGCTTTAAGACAGATCCATGAGTTTCAAAACTCCAGCAGAAGAATTTTGTTTTAATCTGTTTTAGACTTAATCTGAGATTCATGCAGTGCCTTGTTACATAGTAAATGTCTACACCTTATACAGAATACTTAGCATAGTGAATTTCCCTGTAGAATTTTCATCACACATCTGCTGTGAGGAATGTAGGAATTGGTAGATCTTCCCTGATCTTCAGTGAGTGGTCTGTAAATCCTACCTAGCCCTTAGAATCCCAGCCTTCAACCAGATAGCTGAGATCCTACATCTTTCTTTTTCTTTCCATTTATCTTTCAATGATGCCTCCAAAATCATTGTACAGTGGTGCCTTGACTTACGAACGTCCCTACTTATGACCATTTCGAGTTACGACCAGCTCCGGCTGCAAAATTTTGCTTCTACTTGCAACCGGAGCTTCCACTTACGAACAGAAAAAGGCAGGGAAAAAGGTGGGAAAGGTGGTGATGAGGCTGCTTCTTTGTAGCTCTTTCACCCCAGCAGTTAGAGAGTGTGCATCAGAGGAGGCCTCAGACTGCCTCCTTCTGCTTCTGAGTGAGTGAGTGTGTGTGTGTGTGTGTGTGTGTGTGTGTTTGCAGGGAGGCTTTGGGCTGCCTGGTAAGGTGCTGTTTTCTGCTTTTTAAAAACTGTTCTGGTTTTTTGCAGCGTGGTTTTGAGCTGGGGGGTTATGTTTCTGTGCTGTGATGGGTCTTGGGGGGCTTGTTTGTTTGGATCTTGGGGGCTTTTGTTGCTTTTTGGAGTGTTTTTCCCATTTCCGATGGGTCTTGGGGGTTTGGTTTTTGGCTTTTCCCCCCATTTCTGATCTGCTCCATTTGTTTTTTGTGCATTTCCAATGGGTCTTGCTTGCTTGATTGCTTTTCTTCTCTGCTCCTTCAGCCGAAAGGGATTAATCACGTTTCCAATGAGTCTTGCAGTGTTTTTTGGTGATTTTTTTTCTTTGGCTGGAATGGATTAATTGCATTTCAGTGCCTTTCTATGGGGAATGGTGCTTTGACTTACGACCATTTCGAGTTACGTCCATCTTCTGGAACAGATTATGGTCGTAAATTGAGGCACCACTGTAGCTTGAAGAAAACTGGTTTAGAACCATTGCTAAAGCTATCTTGTGCACAGTTGGGGAGTATGTCCCAATAATGGTTGTGGGTTTTTTTGGGCTCTTTGGCCGTGTTCTGAAGGTTGTTCTTCCTAACATTTCGCCAGTCTCTGTGGCCGGCATCTTCAGAGTATTTTTGCAGTAACACCCAGCAAAATTCCTGTGGAAGACATAATTGCCAACGTGGAATCAGCATTATATAATCTTCCAGAAGAAAAAGCAGAGGAAGTAAGAGGGGAAGTGACTAGGATCCTACGGAAAGCAAAAAACCCCAAAAGCAACATAACAGAAAGGAGAGAAATGCCATCAAGTCCCTGAATTCAGACCCAGACACCATCATCCTGCCAGCAGACAAAGGCAACTCCACAGTAATCATGGAAACAGAAGAATACAAGGACAAAATCAGAGAACTTCTAGACCCCATCACCTACAGAAAACTGAAACGGGACCCAACCAACAAAATCACAAAACAAACAAACATGCTGATCAGGAGTTCCTCCCTGCACCCCAACGTCCTTCAACAAATCTGCAAGACAGAAGCTCTCCCACCAAGACTATACGGACTCCCCAAAATCCACAAGGACTCAATCCCACTCAGGCCCATTGTAAGTGCCATCAGCTCTCCAACATATGAATTAGCCAAACACCTAGTGACCCTTCTACAGGCCCACATTGGACAAACCTCATCCTACATCAAAGACTCAGGACATTTCATAAGCAAGATCAGCACCCTAAAACTCAACCCTGGGGACAGATCAGCTTTGATTGACGTAGT